CCCCCCCCCCTCAGGGAGCGGCATGGCGCCATATTAATCTGCGTGTGTCGGCCGAAGCAGCTCACTTCACACCTCGGCTCGAATGTTCCCAATTGTTTATTGCCCGGTGGTGGGCCGAGATGGCGTGTGCATGCATGCAGGCGTGGCGTGGCGTGGCGTCGGCCCTCAGGCTGGAGCCTGGGGACCTCCCTCGGTGGTGCCAATGGGCAGAGTACATTGCCGTACATTGCTTTTGCTTTGGAGGCCATCCCGCGAGCTGTTGTTGCTGCTGCTCCAGGGCCAGGGACCGTCTACAAACCTCAGTAGTCGTGTGTACTTTTTGGTCATATACTCACCCCCCTCCCCCCCAAAAAGAGGTTGAAGTTGAAACCCAACTGAGGGATGGTAGTCTTTACAACCAAGTAGCTGTGGTCTCGAGAAAAACGGGTTTTGAAATGCGCCCTTTTTTTTTTTTTGCAACTTCCGACATTTTTTTTTTTTTTTGAAAACTTCGAGTAAAAAGGTGCCCTTTCCCCCTTTTCCCCTGGGTGTAACATATTTTAGTTGAAATGGGCGGCGGTATAGGCATGCGTGTGTGGTTACCTTTTAAAACACGCCGGTGACGCGAGGTACCAGGTACTCGAGGTACTCGAGGTACCCGAAGGGGCCATAAAAGGATAACCACCGCCACCCGAGGAGGGTTCCCCCAAGGCGGCATAAGGCTACCCGAGGGCGAGGGCGCCCCGGCGGCGTACGACCCCCGAGGCGCGCAAGTCGCGACGGGACCCACTTATTGGTCATGTTTCATGAATGACCTCCAGAGAAAACCAGCAATCTCTCCCTCTTCTCGTCCAGGAAAGGAGTGAGAGTGCAGACGACGCACCACAGCACTTGCCCCGCCATCGGAACCCTTGTTATTTTATTTTTCTTATTTTCATTTTCCCGCCGCCGCGACATGGCTCCGGTGCGGCCGGCACACTGGCACACTCTCTTTGGCGACGACCTGGTCCGTCTGGGGGGACACGGAGCCGGCATACGGGCGACAGGGCCAACCCCGCGTCCTACCACACACTGACAATGTCCAAAGTGTGGATACTCACATAACAAGTGCTGAGATGAGAGCCTAACTCGCAAGCGTGGAGCAAGATTGTTGCGCACTTGTAAGGCGTCAGCACATCGGATATTTTGTGACCAGGGAAGTTCTCTTCACACTGCGTGTAAAGCGAGCCGAAAAGTATGAAAATGCATTGCAAGACAAAACTATTACAAGTGTACAAAATGATTCGATTTAACATTGTGTCGAACGCCTTGCTTTTAGTGTTACATTTCGCTTTGTCAGGGGAACGTGCGATATGAAATTGTCTATTCGCTGTAAGTGCTCGATAACGTTGCGAGTCATCTTTGCGAGTGAGTGCTGCAAGTCTGGTGGCTGGCGGCCGCCGAGGCGCCCAGTGGGCTGGCAGCCCAACCTACACGAGCGCCGTGCAGGCAGGCAACCCAACCGACACGGCCAGCCGAGCACTAACGAGGATGGTCTTATTTTCGTCTCGCTTTGCCATTTCAACTTGTTTTTATTTCGAGTGTATTTGTACTATTATAAATTTTTTCAAGGAAGGGTAAATGTGAAGCGTGTTATTATTATTTTTATTGTTCTCTATCGCTCCCTCTCTCTGCGGTAGGTCGGTTTGTGTATGTGGCTGTTTGAATCGATTTGATAAGGGAGGGACACACAAAAGAATGCCACATGGACCAAACCCGTCCAAACGTCCTTTGCTAGGCCCGTCCTCCCCCCCCCCTCCCCCCTTAAAGGGTGTCGGGTCGGGCGCGCCGCGCTGAGGGTGGCCCCCGCCGCTGCTCCTCGGTTGGGACCCAGCAGTCGCCCGTCTCCTTATGCATTCCAAACATGTCATTTAAATTTTTATTTATAATCCTCCCGCATTGTTTTCGGGACGAAACGGCCCCAGAATGGATACAAGAAGGCCCACCCGGCCCGGCGGCCCGGCCTTGCGGTGCGGCACAGGGCCTCTAGTGTGGGGGTGCACGTCCCCGCCGCCGTCGTGGGGCTCTGCAGGCTGCTCGAGATGCGGGTGCATCGAGATGGGGGTGAAGGCCACCAGCCTCACCAGTCTGGGGATTTTAATTTTCCAGAAAAATATGTCTTGTATTTTACAGGAATTAAATTTTTTCCTGAAAAGTTTAATTTATTTCAAATTTCTCTGGGAATATTTCAATTTTTTTCCATTTTTTTGGGAAAGTTTCCAATTTTTTCCGAAAAATTTCCGGACTTGAAAATCTCTACAGCAATCCGAGAAGCTCCACCAGCCTCACCAGCTCCACAAACCACCCCCATCCTACCAGCCCTTTCAGCCCCTCCAGCACCACACCAGGTCTCGCAGAGAGGACTCGCCGTCCCGGTTCGCACGGCCCTGGACCTCGGAGGGGGTTGGGTGTCGCGCCGTGTGCCCACCTCGGCCCCGCCCCGCCCCGCCCCGCCCCGCTTGTCTCCCGCGTGTACTCTCCTTTATTGAGTGCCGTGCCGGTTGCCGGTGCCGTGCATGCCGCCGGGCTCGTTCCGTTTATGATCGCGTACGTGCGTGTGCGCCCGCCCCACGGGTCCGCCCGCCCGTCCGTACGCCGTACGCCGCCGCCGCCTTTGCTTTGCGTTGCGGTTTAGCGCGTCGGACCAGTCGGACGGACGGTGACGTCGCCGCTGCCGCCCTTCTGTGGTGGCCGGCGGTGTGCCGGCGTGTTCCCACGAACTGCCGCCTCGCACTCGTAGCGCTCGCACACACTCACACACTCACTCGCTGGGCGCGGCCCCTTTCTCTGTGCGTGCGTGCTGGTGTGCGTGCGTGTGTGTGTGTTTTCGTAAGGTTGCAGGCTGTAGCAGGGGCAGCCGCGGGCGGTGGTGCTGTGCACTCTTGTGTTTGCGCGCTCACGCCGCGACAGTGTGGTCCCGTATCATCTCTCTCCTCCCC